GACGGTAACCACTCACCATCAGGTGAGCCATATGCTTGTCTGCCTACACGGCAATAAAAATATAAAAAATATAAAATTAAGCTAATTTTGAAAACTTTCTTTACGCTAGTGTAATAAAAAGCAAACAATATTTACTATATTATGTTCTGTTACATTTAAAAGTAAAAACATAAAGAAGCGAAATGTTTGGTTGACACAATTTTCAGTTTCAGAATGTTTAAATTTATTTAGATATTCCACGCTTTGTTTTCATTAATATTTCGGTATGAATCATTCAAAACGTTATGGTTAAATCTATATATTAATACGTGAAGAAAAAACTTTGTATCCCTTTTTACGAAAATTGCGCGGACGTAGGAGTATGAAATTTTCCACACTTATAGAGTATATAGAGAAGAAGTGCACAATGCTAATACTTTTTTAAAATAATGCATAAAAGATACATTAAATCAATAAAGAAAACATTACACACACTACATACCATTTATTTGAAGCACACACGCATGCATACTATTTATTGTCAAACTTTTGTTCTTTTTTTTTTTTTTCCTTCTTTTTGGCTTTTACATATTGATGTATTTAGCCACTGACAGTAATAAAACTCGGGAACCAAAGCATGATAAAATTGTAAGAATTAGGTAACGGAAATTTGGTTAGAGGATTAGGAAGTAAAGGAAAATATGGAATATATATATATATATATATTAACGTTTGTTGTCAAATTGAGAATAGATTAAATATGGTTTGTCTTTGTTAATATTTTCTATAGTGTAGTCTTGGCGAAATTTGTGATTATAGAAGTATAAAATACAATCATAATAGTGTACAAACTAACAATTCGAATTAATTATAGTCGAATATCGACTACTGCGGGACCTCTAGTTACATTAAAAATACAAATTTTTCAATTTCTGATATTCCAAAAATATAACATTTTTCGTTGGCACCGGCCGTGTCTAAACTGTGAAAGTTTTTCAAATCATCGCAGAAAACGTATCCTAGATCTAACAGACAGGCCAACTGAACATATACCTACAATATTTATTGCCAGATGGGTGAACGAGCTCACGGCCCTCCTGTTTATCGGAACCCCCTTTTTTTTTCTACGTATGCTGATCGCCTTGAGAGGCTATTTCAGCATCGCCCTAAAATGTAGGTGAGCTCACGGGGCTCAAACCGGAGTGTTGCTAACACTGGCTCTAGCAAGAGAAGTGCTTCGCAGAATCCACCACCGGATCGGAAACACGACCCACTGAGAAGATCCGGCGAGAAACTCAGTTGGCTGTGTGTGTGGGTTAATTCGCTCATCGAGCCCTTAGTCGCAAGCGACGGGTTCGACGAGGACGGTGACCGGTGCTTGTGGTACCTAAACCGTTAATGGATCAGGAGGATCTGTAATGTCGTGTTTTGGGCGACGTCGACTGTTTAACATTCGGTCTACAGCATCGGGTATATAAGGAACCCCTAGTCTCCACAGTATGAAAGAGATCTTCATCATAACAATTTCCATGGTGAAAGAATAAAATCGTGTAACAAAATCATAACAGTAAAATTCATAAATATGTGTAGCTAATTCCTGATACACTTACAAAGGTAGGTACCACCTTCCTGTCTACAGGTGGCGCTATTTTTCTGCGAAGCAGTAGACTTCACGTGGAATTTAAAGGCAAATGGGACGTTCACTAAAAGGTGCAAAAAAGTATGTCTCCTGATGTTTCATATTTCAAATTGCAATAGCATTATATTATTTCTCAGAAATAGGCCGGTGGTAGACTTCCAGAATGCCATAACATCAGTACTTAAATTGAGTACCTATTTATTTATCTTACTGGTACCGTCAATGATATGCTGGAAGAAAACTCATTTTTGAGAAAGCTCGGTTTTTTGGCACATTCAAATCCAATTTTTCTTCGTTTAAATTAATTATATACGTAGATACATAATAAGAATTAAAGAGCTGTCTGTTTCTCATCTAGAATTTACAAAAATCCATTCCACAGATTCTCGAATTCTATTTTATCTATATATTACGTGTAGATAACGAATTAGGTACGTACGAAGCGAATGACCAGGCATCACTAAATCTCCGAAAGGTTTCAAATACTTCTTTTGAGCTGTGGGCGTTCGTTAAGAACATATTTGACGTAGTTTACGTCTAGAATGGAATTTTCATCTTTATTAACATCACACACGTCATAATAACGAATACGTATAGAATAAGTTGTCATGGCAACCGTTGCTATAGGCTATGGACCAGAGATTGGCACAAGCAAGTCTCATCCCGGGAAATGCAACGTAATTAATACTGTTACGGTTTAGTTTCACGTTTTATTATTTCCATTATAATAAATATTATTTCCATCGTTTCTTATACTTTATAGTTTTCTTGGTCACTGATAACGGATATGTGATTTTTTTTTATTGCCCTTGTAGGCAGACGAAGCATACGGCCCACCTGATGGTGAGTGGTTACAGTCGCCCATGGACTTCAGCAATGCTAGGGGCAGAGCCAAGCCGCTGCCTACCTGCTTAATATAATGGCAAGATTAAACTGTAATAGCAGTTTTAATTATGTCTATGACTCCTGAAAACCGAAGCAAAACTTAAATACCTACAAAATTCGGCGGTGAAGAAGCGGAGCACGTCTAGTTCCGCATAAGGCCCGTCATTTAAATCTTCACACGCATAAAAGATTTCAACGCACATATGTATGTATGTTTCGGTGAATGGCATACGTTCGAGCGCGTTACAAAGTTAGTTTTAACTGAACTGATTAGTATAATAGCTAATATACCCATAGCTGGTTGTTTAAGTCCAAAGATCTTGGCTAATGATATAGAGAACGCATTGTATAGAATTTTACCGAGTTTTCGCCCATCCTCTGTCAAATGCTTAGCAATTATCTGTGAAACAGGAATGCCACCGCCCACCATAAGACAAAAGTCCTAGTCTGTCTCATCCTTTAAGCTGGCCTATTTACCGGACTTACAGTACGACTCATTATCACCAGTAATCACGCGAATGTTGGTGGTGTTACGAGGTGAGGAGTTTTATAGATTTGTAGCATTTAAAAAAAAAAAAAATTGTCTTAGTAGGTACACACTGAATTAATTTATTCTCACGAATCTTAAAAAATTCTCATGTTACACAAATAGAGTAAAATGTTATAAGGTTGAAGTCTGATGTCGAACTATCTGAGTTTAAGGGGAAAAAGAATAGGTTTAAACCTACACGAATAGTATTTACTAAACAATTGAGTCATTCAGACTATGAACCTTATTAGCAAACTTATTTAGGATCTCGATACCAAAAAATTACTACCTATTAGTAAATACAATAAAACAGGATATTACTAATGTGAGAACAATATATACATATTCATGTTCAAATTACAAAAGAAAATTTGCTGTAAGGTAAACAATATATGTATATACAAATGATTTTGTAACACAAAACAATTTAGAACTTAAGACCTAAGAGTTAGAGTACATTATGGGCTTAACAGAATTTATATATGACTTAGACGCTAGTGTGAGGGACATAAGATAACACCGCATACTGGGCCACCGTTTGTCAAATTTTGAACGATTACCTAAGAAACGTGAATAAGTCCACCGTGAGACAAAGTCCTAGTTTATCCCTCCCTAGTCCCTCCCCTTTAGTCCCTTAAAGCTGGACTGCTTATAGATTTACAGTACGACTTATCATCACCAACAATCACTAGAAAGTTTGTGGGCTTGGTTTTCATTACGTGAAGCAAATACTTCAACGTGGAAGTTGTTTGTGAACACGTGTTAATGCTTAATGCGTGTTAATTCGTGTGTATTTCCGTAGAAATATTGATACCTGTCTGCGTGATTTGTATGTTGATAGTCCTATCGCTCGAGATGAATATAAGCGGTCTTTTTCCACTTAAATCACGGCCACTTTAGCTATCATGCATAGTTAATCATTTGGTGTTGGTAATTAGTGCCCTTGACTGCTGTTGTGAAGATTGAGGGTATGTTCCCATATAGGGGAAACATTCGTATGATGAATAGGTTTGTTTGCTCTTAATTTTTGCTAAGACTAGCCCTAGTAAGAGCAGTGCTTCGCAGATCTATTATCGGATCAGAAGCGCGATCCACTGAGAAGATCCGGCAAGAAAGTTATTGGGCTGTGTCTGAGCGTTAAGCTCTTAGTCCGATTTTTTATATCTATAGGTATCTATGTTTAAACGTGTTTATCTAGTCTCTGGTTACCTTAGTACAGTTAACCCTAGTTTTTGGGCCGGACAATAGTGTGTTACTTATTCCCGACTTTTATTCTTTAACGCAATAACCAATTTAAAGATATCCGATTAATCTGAAAATTTACACACGTATCAAGGACCGATGGCAATACAATAATTTTATTACTTTATCATAATATATTGACTAGACGGAAAAAAAAGAATATTATTTTGATTTTGACCGAGGCACGCCGCACAGTTGACGTCACGCCAAATTGATACATCATTAAGAGTTTTCAATCACATCGGATTCAAAGTTGTCTGGACATGAGAATTAAGAAGCCTTATTCTAAAAGTGGCAACCGATAACACATTAGAACCAATTACTTAACAAAAAATTGAAGTAGGTATGTTAAAAAAAATATTCAAGTAGGTATGTTAACCCTCCATGTTATCCTCTTCGTTCCTATCTCGCTAGTTACAAAGGAATATATAGTTTTTTTTTTTGTAGAATAGTGAATTAGCTCACGGACGTCGTCTCTTAAGCGGCCAACGGAATTCGTCGACATGACAACGTGGCTTGTATGAGAGGTCAAAGTATGAATTGTATTAAAGCAATACCTATACTACTACTATTCAAACCTATTAAAATTGTAAACAGAATAAATATGACGAACGCAATTCGTCTATTTGGAATTCTATCGAAACAATTCAAATTATTCTCAAATCACACAAACATGAAAACAAATACATACTTAATTAAACAAATCGAAACACAAATAATACTTACGTAATCCACTCAGAGAAGCGGCATGTAACATTTGCTGCCGCAGCAGATACTCGCCGAAATGCGCCTGGTCCATCATCATTCTTTTATAAATAATAAAAACCGACACAAAACCAGCCAACCCGGTTCACTTCACAACATAGTCCGTCCAGAACAATTAAGTAGGGAATCGTCCGCAGTTTAATTAGCAGAAAAACACGACAAAAAATTCATAATTATAAACGTAAATGAAAGAAAACAAAACAATACGTGACGACAGAACGACAGCTGCGTTTGTACTAAAGTGTGTTGTGCTTACAGGCGGCGCGTACGCACGTACACGCCTTCTCCTGCATGGGGCCCTGGTATTGGTCGATCGTTGGCTAATGGTGGAAAGCGGCAAAGCCTCCGATGATCTAGCGAGTCTCGTGCGATTCTCGACTGCATCCGAACAGCTTTCCCCAACTTTTCGGCCGCCTTCCGCCTCACCTGACCCACAGACGACGCGTAGGCGCATGCTCCTATGAAAGGCCATTGTTATCGAATCGGGCACCATGTACATTAACATTGCTTTACAAAGTGTTATTGTACGAATCGATTCATGTTAATATATGGTTGCGTTGACACCTCCATTTGTTGGGAAGATGATTATCAAACGCTGCGATGGCTGTAGTGATTATTACTAAATTAGTATGTCTTAAATGAGTGTGACTTGTATTATTACCTATGTGTGTATGAAAATTAATAAATCGTGCTATAGACTCATTATAACAATTGAGTATCAATTGTATGTTCACATTCTAGATTAGATTAATAAACAAACACAAATGTATTATTTTATTTTATTTTTCATTTTACAATTTCTTACCCTTCATCGATTTTCTTTTGCGTGTCAGAAGTTCACAGTCCTACTTGTAAAACCATATATCATTTACTATACAAAATGTTTAAATGCTTTAGACAGAATAAGGATAATACTGACAATTTTGAAAATATGTATTGGTCTATTAAAATTGGCTCAATTTTAATAATGGCGACAAGAAGGCACGATTACTTGAAATTGAGATTAAGCAAAACTTTGATTTATTAATTTTATGTGTTTCTGTTTTGACGGGAGTTTCATTGGCAGTTTGATTGATTCTTTTCATTCTGAGTGACTCTTGCGTAAAAATTTTAAATTTGTTAATTTGTTTTATGTTTCGCTTTGAGTGATTAGAGAGTTTTTTCGACGAATATTTTATAGTACCTTTTATATTGTATAGGTGCCCGTAGAAAAGCTGTTTTTTGTTAATTAATTCAACGCGTGCGTGATCACGGAACGTGATATCTACCTACTTATCTACACTAAATTACGTATTTTTTTTGTTTTTGTTGCAATATTCATTATTAGGCAATAGGGTTTGTTTTAAATTAAAATCGAGAACATTTCCATTAATTTCGTTAGTGCAAAAAAAAATTGTTAATTTGACACTAATTATATTATTACATCATAATAATATATAGTTTGTAATACATCATTTACCTCGGCTTCGGCGGATATCATGCGTGACCTGTATTTTATAAGGATGAACGTAATTGAAAAAAGTTTTAGATTTATAAATATTGTGTCTTACCTCAGGCGGTATCTGTAGGTACCTACCAATAACATCCCTACATAAAAAACGTTTCTCATTATCGTAATAGTCATTAATGAGTTTAACTGAAGAATAAATTAAAGTGACATTAACAGTAGATAAAGCTGTAATTTAACTTTTGTATTTTTTTTGTGATTGAGAGATTACCTACTAGTGGCCAAAAGGCCTTTCCAGTTTCACCAGGGCAGGTGAGCGAGCAAAGGCTCAGCCAGGAGGAGTGGGATTTGCTAACAACTGCCCGAGCGCCTCCGAAGGAGACCTTTTTTTTTTTTTTTTTTTATGATTGAAGGATTACTGGTGGCCCGGAGGCCTTTCCAGTTTCACCAGGACAGGTGGGCGAGCAAAGGCTCAGCCAGGAGGGGTGGGATTTGCTAACAGCTACCCGAGCGCCTCCGAAGGAGACCTAACAGCTCAAGAGCAGCTGCTCCGCGAATGAATCTACTACCGGATCGGAATCGCGACCCGCTGAGAAGATCCGGCGAGAAACTCAGCGAGCTGATTCATGGGTTAGGTTGCACGGCGAACTCTTTGTCGAGTTCGACGAGTACGGTTACCGAGGTCCCTAAGCCTGCTCCTAGAGCTGAAGGCGTCTAGTGCGAAGGTTATTGGATCTGATGGATCCGTAAGGACGTGTCTAGGNAAATACAGCGTCCATGATGTCTACGTGCCCAGGTGGGGCTACCCTGGGTCTTAGAAAACACTCGCCTTGCGGCGAGGCCCCAACTTCTCGGACCTGAGCGGTTCTATTGAACACAGGTGGCGATGCGGCACGATTACTGCAGGACAAAGAAAAATCACAACAAAATGGAAATAACAAAAAGAAACAAAACAATTAAACACTTCCAGGAAGACAGTTTGTCGGCAGATGTACCACGAACACAGAAATAACAAAAGGAAACAAAACAAATAAAAACTTCCAGGAAGAGCACTTAGTCGGCAGATGTACCACGAACACAGGCCGCGCGAACAATGGCCGGGCTAACAAAAGCCGGGCGAACAAAGGCCGGGCGATCGAGTGGTCGATGAGCACGTCCGCGCGTGACGGGTGCCTCTATCGGAATGGAAGGAGACCTAACAACTCAAGAGCAATTGCTTCGCGAATGAATCTACTACCGGATCGGAATCGCGACCCGCTGAGAAGATCCGGCGGTAATTTAAGATATTAACCCTATCAGGACTGATAGTGTGAGATGTTGAATTGTTTGCAATAAAGTGGAATTTGTGATTTTTTTACTTTAGTTATAATTTTGATACATAATTCTACTAAGGAGAAGTTTTATATTTATATTCACATATTCATATATTCATTGTTCTATCTATACTAATAAATAACTCTACAGTGGTTTTTACGGATGTTCCGTTATAACTACTGAACCATGCATCCGATTGACTTGAAACTTGGTATCCATGTAGAAAATACATGTACTTAATGCATAGGCTAATACTTATAATATGAATGTTGGACTACCTACACCAGTTGCGGGGGTGTTAATGATGAGAAGCTTTGTGGGGTGAGAAATAATAATGTTAATTTTAAATGCCCAGCGAAGCAGACGGGTACAGCTAGGTAATATTTATTATAAACATATATTTTAACTGGGGGTAGGATCTCTTTTAAATTTGTCTTAGAAATTTTATGACGTTCTTGATTTTTTTGTTGTAATTTAACATTGTTAGTTGTTTATTTATAGCGGGGCTCCGCTGGATACGGGCGGCGCAGGACCGATCTTTGTGGCGAAGCTTGGGGAGGCCTACCTATGTCCGGCAGTGGACATCTGTGGACTGAAAATAATAAGAAGAAATTGTTTATTGGTACGACACAAATATTCAAATTTATATTTTAATTAATTATTAGTATTTTAAATTCCAAATTTTAGTGAGAATGTTTATTATATTAAAATGCAATGCAAGACAACGACTAAATGCAAATTATATAACAGAAAATTGATGAATTAAAGCCAATGCCAAAAGAAGAAAGAGAAAAATCCATTGCATGGATAGAATAGGATGAATAGAATGTACTACCGGAGATATCACCGAAGGTAAACATATCCTGAATTTTCTTGTTAGCCGTTTATAAGTCATTGTGGCTTCGTATCGCCCAGTAGGTAGGTATACTCGTCCGATACGACTGCGCCCATATTCGAATCCCGCAGGCAGGTATAAAATATGAAGGAATAACATCATGTCATAACCGCAAAAATTGTAATTTAAGACATTACTAAACAATCAAGGCGTTTGTAGATAGATCTGTGGTCTCAATTTGCATAGTACTATTGACGTTGTGATGTCCATGATTTTCGGTAACCTCCTTACAGCTGGTGGGCCGTGAACTCATCAGCCGTCTAAGCAATGACCAAAAAAACAACAATCTCCAAATGAAAACCAAAGACAATATCTTTTAATCAAGTCTTGGAACAATGACCGTCGCAAAGACAATTCATTTTTTACATACCTACGCGACAGATCTTGGCATGAGTAACATTTATCAATGCGCCTTATCAACGGATACGGGCCACGTCCATTGTAGCGCTATCTTGTTGCTAATGAAAGCAATCGCCATACAATAGCTGGCATTCGGTTACTCATCGAACTTAACCTAACCACCGGATGCTAATTATTTGTCAGTCTAAGTGAAATATTTTACATAATTAGATAAGTTGATTAGCACCGATGTCGGTATTCAGTAAACAATTATTGTTGGTTATCATTATTTAACTTTTTTTTTCATTAAAGCAGTATAGCGTAGTTTTCTTCCTCTCAGGAGGTGCCGGAGTCCGACATAACCCAGTTCGTTATCCCTCTCGACCGGGTATCCGTAAACGGATTCCCCAGCGTTAAAAAAAAAAGGTACTTGAAGTACGTTGCATATCTACTAGACACTGTTTGATGATATTTGAAGGCGAATGAAATTAACTTACAATGATACCTTTTTTTTGTTTTATATGATGGCACGGCCAGTTCACGGGTCATTTAGTGTCCTAAAAGGAAGGAGTCTTTAGTCACAAAGTGAATACTATCGCACTTCTTGAGACATAAGGTAGAAGTCTCGAAACTATTGTAAGAAGGTTCGTGAGGAACGTTGACCTACACGACGACCTGGGCCTCGAATCAATCCGGAAATACCTAGGTACATGAAGTCAGCGTCGGAACGGTACTTCGATAAGCCTATGCGTCATGATAATCGCCTTATCGTTGCCGCCGCTGACTACTCCCCGAATCCTGATCATGCAGGAGCCAGTCACCGTCGACGCCCTAGACACGTCCTTACGGATCCATTAGATCCAATAACCTTTGCATTAGACGCCTTCACCTCTAATACTAGGAGCAGGCTTAGGGACCCCGGTAACCGTACTAGTTGAACTCGACAAAAAGGTCGACGTGCAACCTAACCCATGCATCAGCCCGCTGAGTTTCTCGCCGGATCTTCTCAGCGGGTCGCGATTCCGATCCGGTAGTAGATTCATTCGCGTAGCAATTGCTCTTGAGTTGTTAGGTCTCCTTCGGAGGCGCTCGGGCAGTTGTTAGCAAATCCCACCCCTCTTGGCTGAGTCTTTGCTCGCCCACCTGTCCTGGTGAAACTGGAAAGGCCTTCGGGTCACCAGTAAAATTTCAATCAAAAAAAAAAACGGCTAGGTACCACCACCCTGCCTATTTCTGCCGTGAAGCAGTAATGCGTTTCGGTTTGAAGGGCGGGGCAGCCATTGTACTGTTACAAGTGAGACCTTAGAGAACTCATATCTCAGGCCGTGAACTCGTCCACCCATCTAAGCAATAAAAAAAACTCAAGGGCCATAAATTTGACGATGATGACGTAGTAGTCGTCGCAGTATATACGATTTTTTGAGGGATCAGAAAGAATATTTTTTTTAAAGGGAAATTTTAGCTCTACAAGAAAAATATACAAAGTATTATACATAAAAAATAAAATAAAATTTGTAGCTATTACCCATAAATTTATATTACCATATAATACCATAAATTTAATAAAGGTAATAGTAGTAAAAGTAAATAACAATAAATAGTTGCGTCATATTCATTATCACTTTTTTTAACACTCATATATAAATTATAAATATATATGTAGATATAGTAAAGATTATTTTTCAATAAATTTTTTTTTGGTTTAGATGGAAAATTAATACTTATTGTTAATTTTCTTAAAAATATTCAACAACAATAAGTTGAATTCTTTACATAACCAATATTTTATGGTTCCGAATAATTTAAAATTTCAAACTTAAACTGACATAATTTTATTGCATTGATGCACTTTAAAAAATTGCTGGAGCCGTGACCTTGTCGACCCACATCGAGAGCCATTCATCGGACGTTTGTAGACTGATGATGATGATGCATGTATTTCTCAACTTAGTCTAACATTTTTGTAAAATAAACAAAGCAATCAGTCGTCGGTTTGAAGTTTTCAGTCGGCGCAATCATAAAAGCGAAGACATCATCTATAAAACGTAGTGTGAACGCGAGGAACGAAGTTGTGTGACTTGTTCTATTTTGTTACTTTAGTGTTTTTTCAGGTTTATATATGTAAAAACGGTGGTTTATTATCGATGTTTAGTATCTTTTTTTTAGGATTGAAGGATGACTAGTGGCTCGGAGGCCTTTTTAGTTTCACCAGGACAGGATTTAGTGTCTACGGAAGTGCACAAGTGTAGGAAAATGAAAAAGCCTTGGACGTGGCTTCTCGGGTTCTATAAATAGCCACCATTTACTTCATCTCGTCTAATTTCGTTTCATTTAATTTCATATCAATTGATTAAAGTCTCAATTAAATCAACTTCACCTTATTTCAGCCATATCATATTTCAGTCCATAATATTAATATTATTTTGAATATGTATTACAGAAAATAAAAAAAGATTTGCTGTATGGTCTGATCCATTCGCTTTTCTAAATGTCAGTAAATTCAAACGCCAAAGTCCAATTAAAAGTTGACCAAGATAAACCAAAGATTAGAAGAAATGACAGTAAAAAGGATTCCATTTTTAAACTCGTTTAATTGATTAAAATTACAAAATCAATTATTATAGTTACTCATAATGCTTTTGATAAAAATAAACTTAGATCTTATACGTTAAATTGGAGTGAGAATTATGATGTTGCCTCGGTAATAGAAAATTTTTGTAACATCCAGTCTGACAGCTGTGTAAAACAAAGCGAAATTTTGTAACCAGTGCTTATAAGTCTATTCATAATGTTCTCTAAAGATTTTACAAGTAAAGAGTCATTCTTAGAACAAACAAAAGCTGCTCGGGAAGAGCGAGCTTTGGAAAAGAAACGAGAAGCTTCAGTAGTAAAAATCCAGGCTCTTGTACGGGGCTGGTTACAGAGACAGAAGTTCGTCAAGATAATTTTGTAAGTAACGTTATTTTGATGTATTCTTAGATCAGCGCTGTGCGCAATCTAACCAATAACATCATTTGTTTGATTTAAATCAAACAAATTATTGACGTAACTATTGAGCATAATTTTAAACTGATGATAAAATTGTCGATTTTTAGAAATGAATTTGATGAATTACTACTACAAGCATCAGATGGTTCTCATGATGATACACTAAAATCTACTGAACTCCTTCCTGCACTATCTGTGTTCAAGTCATCTTGTCGTTTATTAATTGTGTTTGATGTTGAAAGAGACAGAAAAAGATTTGAAAAACTTTGCAAATATATCACCAATAGTCTACATTCGGAGTCCATTAAATTGTCTTATGTTGGAGTTTTTCTTAATAAGGAGTACAGGTATGTTGCTAATAACATATTTTATAAATTCTAAGTGAGCTAACTTCAGCCATTTAACTTGCTTCATATTGACTTTCCTTTGAAATATGGCACAATGACATAGTGTCAACTATTTCCAAATAATAAAGTCAGATTATGAATAATTGATATATCAATAAGTTAGTTATAAAATAGATACATTTCTCTATAATATTCTAATGCTAGGTGTAAGTCTTAAAAAATCTTTTTTACTTATTCTATAACATTAATGTCTCTTAGATGGCACTCGCTGTAAGTGTGAAGTAAACATCAGGCTAACTTGTTATTTATAGAGACACCGGACATGTCTATACAAAAAAAGTTAAATTAGTATTTTTTTTTTATATTGCCATAACTATGGTTTAAAAAAAATGGTCAGTGATTTGTTTTTGTGTAAATTATAATACAATAAAATAATATAATACAAATATTTATAATATAATACAAATATTTATAATATAATACAAATATTTATAATATAATACAAATATTTATAATATAATACAAATATTTATAATATAATACAAAGCACTCAATAAATAAATGTTCAAAATTATTAATAAATGATATATTTTCAGTTTAAGATGGATATCACATATAAAAGATGTTCTGTTTAAATGTTGTCAATACCTTGAACAGCTTAAACCAGAATCTCCCATGGATATGCAGAGCATTCTTATTCATCTCCATACACTACTTGCCTACACTGGGAGCAGCACATGGGCACTGACGCGCCTTAAAAACTTTGAAAAGTTAAGAGGCGGCATGAATCAACTCTGTGCTAATGTCATGGGATCACTGTTTCATAAAGGATATTACTTAACCTTAAAAGTATGTTGATTTGTTTTGACTTTAAGTGAAGTAAAACATTCACTTCACTGGTGGTAGGATCTCTTATGAGTCCACTTGGGTAAGTAGCTACCACCACTCTGCCTATTTCTGCTGTGAAGCAGTAATGCATTTCGGTTTGAAGGGTGGAGCAGCCGTTGTAACTATACTTGAGACCTTAGAACTTATATCTCAAGGACCCACCTTGCAAGGTGCATTTACGTTGTAGATGTCTATGGGCGCCAGTAACCACTTAACATCAGGTGGGCTGTGAGCTCGTCCACCCATATAAGCAATAAAAAAATTTAAAAAAACTGTCGTAGAAATTACATGTCTATATAGTTTGAAAGATTTTTATTTTATTTTGTGTGTTTAAAATAATTTATATGTTTCAGTCGTTATTGTTGCGTGGTCTGTGTCGGGAAAAAGTGTTCCTCAAGAATATTTCCTTAACCGCCATAGTGACATTATCACTGCGACCACTTATATCAGCACAATTTTCCGAGAAACTACTCACAATGTACATAATCCAGATTTTGTCAGTTCCAACACTAGTCTATCAAATGCAGCAACTTTCTCCTGAAGTAAGTATATATTCTTGACAAAGCATGTGAGTCTAGTAAGCTAATAGAAAAGGTTGAGAAAGGGCTATATTAGAGTAATTTTCAAACTTAATTGATACTCAGTTTGACAATGCTTAAATAATGTTATAAATCTTAATATTGATTACATTAACATTACGCCTAAGAGTTGAAAGTTGTAGTCATTTAAAATAACAGATTACTGGACAATTACATATTTTTATCTAACAAAGAATAAGAAGAAATACCTAGTTTATAATCTGACATATTATATTTGCATTGTTAAGTGGAAATGAAATAAAATAATAATAAATGTAAGATCTGGGGTGTGTTTATATATATTACAGGATTTTTCTGTTCTGTATGGACAAACGAGCTGTGGATGGTTTGTTATTGCCCTTGACACATAAGACTAAAGTCTCAATTATAACTTATTAAATTATAAATATAAATTATTATAAGTTCTTCAGAACCAGAATAAATCATAATTAAACTTTAGGAATACCTACCAAATTCACATTCAATAAGCACGAATATATTTTTAAATTTTTTGTTTCATGTAATACATTTTTTGCAGTCAATAGCAGCATATAGAACTCATTCAATGTTCGATAAAAGCATAGAGTTTTTGAGCACCGGTCAAAACATGCGTATTGTATTCAATACATTAGAAGGGAACTATGCACTTTGTCTTCTTGGAAACCTCATACAGTTGGCACACTTAGAAAAAGATCATGCTATGAAGGAAACTTATTACCCTGCATTCATAGTAAGTAATATTAACAACTGATATTTTAGTTTTGATAAAAAGAAAACATAAAATTAACTTAAATATTCACTGTCCCCAGTTAGTATCTACACGTTTCTTAGACTCATGCCAGCAATATGTCGTGTGCAAGAAAGGAAATCTTAGCAACTGGCATCCAATCTTGGGATGGTTTTCACAAAGCTTGGACGCGTACTTGCCTCATGCTATGACCAATCTGAGAAATCAGTTATCTTTGTTATGGGGAACTCAGTTACTCAATAAAATCCTAGCTGTTCCTCTAAAAGAGATGTTAGATGCTGGTATTACAGCTGAAGAGGGCGCTGGGCCGTCACAGCCATCTACTCCAGTGCAAAGTAATAATCCTGCTGCATTTATAAGGAGAGCTATTGAGGCTAGGACCAACAGGTTAGTATTGTAATATAATTTGTATTTTAAATTGTGGCTTACTGGCAAATTCTAAATTTGGGGTGTTTAGTCAAGTTTCTAGTTTTAGTTGTGAACATTGATCATCACTTATCTATTATATCTATGTATAAGCAAACGTCTGTTAATCTATGAAAAATACTAATAAATATATTTAAAAAAACGGATTTTGAATAATAAAATTAGCAATATTTTCATTTTTAAATGTTGGTTGGCAACTTAATATTGATATCGGAGCGCAATTAAATTTAAACCGTTATCTAATGACTTTTAGTGAAATATGATTATTTTACTCATTAAAATCTATAAAAATAATTCAAACATTCTGACCAGCCATAACACCTAATGTTATATTTGGCAAACCTTTTTGTGTTATTGTAAGATAAACGCGTAATTCGTCACACTTTTGGCCCCGTATGACGTCACAAAATGTTCCTTTCAGCGAAGCTTTTTAGTTTGCTCAGAAATTTTGAATTTAGTTTTCATGTGTTTTGCATTCCCATAATGTACATAAATCGTAATTTATTAAAAAATTTAGGTAAATGAAACATTAAAATTTTCAGGTCCAATTCAAGCAAAAACTTTAGAAAATTAGGATCGCCGGATTGCACGAAAGCTGCGTTAATCTGTTCTATGTACCAAACTGCTTTGCAAACTATGACTCAAGTGAAACTAGATATTCTAACAGGTAAATAAATACTTCACTCAATGTTGTGTGGCTTTTGTTGCTTCCTCATTGTTTTGCATTCTAATAAATTAAGGTTACAATAAACATGAAGACGTGTCTACTTGTTTAACCTGTCGACAGTTAATCGAAACATCAGCCTGCTGTGTTTCTCGCCAGAACTCAGCGCGTTGCCATTCAGTTCAGTGATAGATGCACTCGGAAGGAAGCTTGTGCTATTAGGTCTCTTTCCCTGAACCTCAGTTGCTATTTATATTGATGGTTGGACCTCTTGTGAGTCCTACCACACTGGCGGGTACCACCACCCTGCTCATTTCTGCTGTGAAGCAGTAAAGCATTTCGGTTTGAAGGGTGGGGAAGCCGTTGTAAGTATACTTGAGAACTTAAAACTTATATCTCAAGGTGGGTGGCGCATTTACGTCGAAGATGTCTATGGGCTCCAGTAACCACTTAACACCAGGTGGACTGTGAGCTCGTCCACCCATATAAGCAATAAAAAATAAAACGAAAATAACCAAAAAAAAATTCCTATGTGACTGTTAACGGTCTGGATCACTTCACCATGTATGTATAATCAAAACTATTATTATTTTAGGGTTAAGCAATCAGGAGAATATATTGTATTCATTATGGCAATTTCTCTGTACTTTGGGACCAAACTGTGGATTGAAATCCTACCTCGATTTGTTAGCCGTTAACACAAAGACCTCGGCTCCAGAATTTCAAATGTTGGTGCTATTTGCGGACTGCATGACTCATTATGTTACGTAAGTTGCCATTAGCTTTGTTGAACTAATGTTGACTATATGATAGTCTTTAATAGTACGTCAATATTGTAATTTATATAATATTTGTATGTCGATTTAAGGGCAATGCTTCTGGCAATTTAAGGGCAATGCAATTTAATGTTATTATAAGCATTTCAAGGAAGGCTCTAATAGTCCTATCAGCCCAATAACATTAATGGGTTTCAACGGTAATAAATAAAATGTTTTATATGTTAAATAATATTTTAACCATGAATTTTTTCACTCAGAATTTTAGATGATATGGAAATGTATGAGAAACAGGATCCTTTTAAACTGCAAGATTTCATAAATATGTCACAGTTCCTGAATATGTTTGTCTACAAAACGATAATGGGACAGCTTTTTGGTATGTTGATCAGAGAAATATTCGTAAAACTTGTATAGAAAACATCACTAGAGATGAATAACTCTTAGAGGTTAATGGACAGCAGTAGGTGTACCCAACCAAATAGACCAACATTACAATTTAAAGATGTCTTCACCTGAAAAGGACCTTTGATTTATTTATAGCAAATTATCGCATACAGTACATTACTTTCTTTTGTACAGTTTTATTGTTATATGTAATCTACCGTTTTGAAATAAATTTAAAGAAACATATTATCAGCTCTTGCTAGGACTAGTGTTAGCATCTTCACCAGGTTAAAGCCCCGTGAGTTCACCTACTCGTTCTGTTAATCTAGCATGACCCCTCGAGGTCACTAGAATAAGTATGTATGCATGTATATATGTATGTGTGTATGTATGCTCGTCTGCCTACAAAGGCAATAAAAAAAGTAGGAATAATTTTTTTAACTAAAGGTTATCAAAGTATTTAAAAAGTGTACAAATAACACTTCATTCGTTGATAACGAATGAAAGCAACAAGATATATGAAATCGGCGAATTACTGGCTGTCTAATATTAATAGAATACCGTAGTAAAGTAAGTACAGTAGATAGGGAAGAATAGGGTCAAATCTGGGATGTCACAATACTTTTGTCGGATCGTTAGAGATTTAACTTTGTTGAACTGAAAATGACTTACTAAGGTTTAGTGCTTACGAATATTAAATAATATAGTTTAACTTAGTCATCAACGTTTTGTAACTTATTAAAGATGTTAAAAAGCTAATTACCTAAAGTTAGGTACTTATCTAACAACTAAATAGTGCCAGCCCTATCGAAAAACTATTGTCCCCATACGTAACCCGATTCACCCAATGCCTAGGTGAATGGGGACAGTTGTTTTTTTACTTTTTGTGATTTGCCGTAATAAACTATATCTTAATGCATTCTAAATGAAAATTTAAACTACCGGAACCATTATGATCTCCGTTTTATTACTATAACTACAAGAAACAAACGATAAAAATCAATGTCGAATTTAAAAAGTGTCCCGATTCCTCCCATTTTATGTTTATTGTAAGTCTTCATGTTTTTTTTACAAAATTAATAATGATATTTTATCGCTTGCAGATCTCAAAACAATCCAAAGTAATGATTTATTTAATTCGCTGCACACGCTACTGCTGGTGCTGTACCGTCGCGACTGCCGGCGCTCGTACACGCCCGCCCACCACTGGCTCGTTAAGGAGATACGGGAGGGGCAGTTCATGTCCGATCTGGAGAAGGGCAAGAAACCGCAGCAGGTGTGTGTGAAACTTTGAGCCCAACACGTATTGGTCATACATTTTCATTGTTCGATTCCCACAGACACAGCCCACTGAGTTTCTCGCCGGATCTTCTAAGTGGGTCGCGTTTCCGATCCGGTTGTAGATTCTGCGAAGCACGACTTTTGCTAGGGTCCATGTCAGGTTTGAGCCCCGTGAGCTCACCTACTAGTTAAGGTTACGCTGATATCGTCCCCTAGACCATCAGCTTAGGTAGGAAAAAAATATATGTTCGAACCGGAACTAATTGCAGTAGAATGTTGTTGCTGACCACAATACGATCAAATTTTATGGTTTCCATCGCACGAGATTTATGCCGCAGCATTATCGCAATGTCGTCTTCTCCAATTGGCTACGACGACTGCGCATTGCATATATGTATTGCAATAAATTAGTCAACAGATTTTGTTTATCTAAGGCTCTGCACTGTCTATATAATATCTGAAGACTTGAATGTGAGTATAGGCAATGTATCAAAAAAATGTCTGCAACAAATGTTTATGTGTTTTGCATTTAACACTAAACATACCATAACGGGTTAAATGACCCATTTTGAACTTTTGCATCGACAATGCACGTATCATCTTATTGTTTTTGCACATTTAACTTCATGACTTTTTCTTACTAATTAATCTACAGTTTTTAGTGTATTTTTTTTTACTTTTTTTTTGTCGTATTCTGTTATTTACCCGCTATGGTAGAAATAGATACCAGTAAGTATTGGTATGATTAGTATTCATTTGGTCAACGAATAAACAAGATTGTACCATAGTTTGTTTGTTAGTTGCATACCATAGTTTATTAATTACTGTTCTTATTTATTTGGTTACGACAGGACCTAGGGTATCTTGGGCTCGGATCGATTAAAGACTTCGAAGCCCTTGAACCTAAATTTTTAGGATATTTATGTGGTTACAATTTCCGGGATCTATAAGGTGTTGTAAATCCGACATTTTATTCTCAATATCATTGTAACAGTTGTCATGACTTTACATATCAAAAGGAATCATATTATTATTATTTTAAATTATTTCCCACTATTCTACCGTGTTGCGTATTGCTAGTTTTAATCGGTATCGATATTTAGTAAATTTAAATAATTTATCTTATATCTCACAATAACAGATGCTAGTACAAAAGACTCCTCACATGATCGCTCACGGAGAAAGGGTCCGATTGTTCCGGAGGGCTGTCGCTGATGAAAAGGTATGATAATGGGCTTAAAAAAACTTTTGTATTGTTAACTACGGAGATTGGGCTTACTGGTTACAGAGTCGTATTGAAACCCCCGCGGACTGGTACAATCAGATCGACTATTTCTGCTGTGTCCGGCCTAAATAAAGGGCGGGGCAGTCATAGGTAGAGGAGCATATGCCCCTGATGGTGAGTGGTTACTATCGCCCATGGACGTCAGTAATGCAAGGACCACAGCTAATTCGTTACCTACCGTTAAGCACTCTCCATAAGTCTTGTTTGAAGAATGACATGTCATAGCTTTCGCGAAACAAGTACAGAGGAGCTTATTTCAAAGCCGGACTTGCAAAAAAATGTCTGGAAACTTACCGTGGATAACCGCAGTGGTTCTAGATAATATGGGTGAACTTTACTCCGGTGGCGGGCGGTGCGATGATAAAAACGAGATGATGTGGTTATCATTTTTTTTTTTTTTCCGAGCTGGCAGACGAGCTTACGGCCCACCTGATGGTAAGTGGTTACCGTCACTCATGGACGTCAGCAATGCCAGGGGCAGAGCTAAGCCGCTGCCTACCGCTGTATCTCAAACAATTCCTCAGAGCACTTACGTATATCTCATGGAACATATGGGACAAATTTCAGGGAGAGAGTGAGTGAGTTGTGTAGTGTATGGGCCACGGTAGCCGCTGCACCGAGTGGACCGTAAACTCGTTCACGCGTCTACACAATAAGTAGACGTGAAGATAATATCGGACTTTTTTGGCGGGAACGCGATGAGTGAAGTTGTGTGATTTGTTTTATTTTGTCTATTTAGTGTTTCTACATTTGAATGTGTAATAACGGTGGTGTGTAATAACGGTTCACATCTGTGAAAGTGCACAAATGTGGGAAAATGAAAGAAAGCCGCTAGACGTAACTTCTCGGGTTCCTCCATAAGGTCCACTAAAAAATCTCAATAAAAGACCACCGTTTTACTAAGATTATATGTCATCCCATATAATCCCATTTCGTTTCATTTAATTTAATTTCACTCCATATTTTTCATAAAAATAAGATTAAAAATTTAAATAAGACTTGACCTAAAGGTCTTAGTTACCAGGTCATTAAATCCCTTTAAAAATATAATGAAGATGGTATCGATGCGTCATCGCTGGCAGGTGGTGCTGGGGCTGACGGAGAGCGCGTGCGGCGGGCGCTCGACGCTGGTGACGGTGCGGCGCGCGCGGCTGGTGGAGGACGGCTACCGGCAGCTGGCGGCGCTGCCGTCCCGCGCGCTGCGGGGCTGCGTGCGCGTGCGCTTCATCAACGAGCAGGGACTCGACGAGGCCGGCATCGACCAGGACGGCGTGTTCAAGGGTACCCTCTCGTGCACTTCGATTTAAGGACACAGAAAATATCAATTTGAAAAATTTTCTTCTTCTTCCTCATCGCTTCCTCATTACTGAGGGACGTGACCACCTTGGTCCAGTTTTTGCACCAACTTCCTCCAATGTTGCCTGCACTCGGCCTGTTTAATGGTTTAAATCTAGTCTATTATAGTATACCGTAAAATGGGGGGATTTTTAAGTTATACGTTGTTTTTTTTTGTTTTTTTTTTATAATTATAATAATAAAACGAAGATCATAATGTTTCCGGTAGTTTAAATTTTCATTTATAATGCATTAAGATATATTTTATTACATAATAATTATAAAAAGTAACAAAAACGCACTTGTCCCTATTCACCAAGGCGTTGGGGTGAATCGGGTTACGTATGGGGATAATAGAGTTTTGGATAAGGCTTTAGTTGTTAGGTAGGTACCAAAGTTTAGGAAATTAATTTTTTAATATCTTTAATGAGTTACAAAACTTTGATGACTAAATTAAACCATTTAATATTTTTAAACACTAAATAAAAGCATTTTCAGTTCAACAAAGTTAAATCTAACAACTCAACAAAAGTATTGTGACATTCTAGAATTGTCCCTATTCGACCTCTAGTCCCTATTCCCCCCAATCTACTGTACTAAAAATTCAATAAAAATACACCGACATAACTATATAATAAAAATGTGTTGAGAAATTGCTATTACAATTGTAAAACTTCATTATTACTATTACAATTTCGGATTATTCTCAATAACCACAATAATATATGGTTATAATTTTCGTTCCTTTCAGAATTTCTCGAAGAAACAATAAAACGCGTGTTCGATCCATCTCTGAACCTGTTCCGTGTGACGAGCGAGGAGCGCCTGTACCCGTCGCCGACGTCGTGTCTGCAAGAGAACCATCTGCAACTCTTCGAGTTCATCGGCAGGATGCTAGGGAAGGCTGTTTATGAGGTAAGGCCACACGTCATTACGGGTCCTCCTGATCCATTAACGGTGCTTTTAGGTACATCAAGCACCGGTCGCCGTTCTCGCCGAACCCGTTACTTGCGATGAAGGGCTCGACGAGTAAATTAACCCATAGACACAACCCACTGAATTTTTTGCCGGACCTTCTCAGTCGGTCGTGTTTCCGATCCGGTGGTAGATTCTGCGAAGCACGGCTCTTGCTAGGGTCAGTGTTACAACACCTCCGGTTTGAGCCCCGTGAGCTCACCTATACGTCAAGGAGAAGCTGAAATAGCCTCTCAAGGCTATCGGCATAGGTAAGAAAAAAAAGAAGAAAAAAAGGTAAGGGAAAATGCCTAAATTCACTTACCGTAGCCTCACTAGTTATGTACTGAGAGTATATATGTTTGTCGATAAACACGAGTGTACCGCACTTAACTACATTATGTAATTTAAAACATAAGTTGTTGCACCCAAGGGCATCGTGGTGGACGTCCCGTTCGCGTCGTTCTTCCTGAGTCAAGTCCTGGGCCAGACCCAGCAGGCACTGTACAGCTGGATCGACGAGCTGCCCTCCCTCGACCGCGACCTCTATCGGAGTCTCACATACATCAAACACTTTCAGGTATTTTATTGGGACGAAACGATTAAATTATATACCGGTCGGTTAGTCCGAACTAAGTGTCGTCATTTGTAATTGTACAAACAGTATATATTAAGATACAAACCCAATTTTGTAGGCAGCGGCTTGGCTCTGCCCCTGGCATTGCTGAAGTCCATGGGCGACGGTAACCACTCACCGTCAGGTGGGCCGTATGCTCGTCTGCATACAAGGGCAATAAAAAAAAAAAAAAAAATTAGTCTCGGCTATATTAACAGAAAGGATATATGGGGTACACGGAAACAAACAGTAAAATTCTTCTGCTTTATTTTTCTACTCCGGCACGGGCAACAGGGTGCCATGCACTAGCCAGCGCCAAGACCTTTACAATTCATTTGGCTCCGGCACGGGTGACAGGGTGCCGTGCACTAGCCAGCGTCAAGTAATAGGACCTTTACAATTCACCGCTTCAATTATTTACAGCTCACGAATAATAAAATAAACGAAGGAAACTAATCGCGACATAATATAAATTATTAAAAACGAATGAAATTTATAAATAAGGTGATATGTGATGAAATATAATCTCAGTAAAATGCTAGTCATTTTCTGAGACTTTTCAGTGGACTTTTTGGAGGATCCTGAGAAGTTACGTCCAACGGCTTTGTTTCATTTTCCCACATTTGTGCACTTTCACAGATATTAAACAGTTAATAAACCACCGTTATTACACATTTAAACTTGAAGAAACACTAAATAGACAAAATGAAACAAATCACACAACTTCACTGCTCGCGTTCCCGCCAAAAGGTCCAAATTTGTGTCGGGATTCAAGGGGGGGCTTTGCTATCTGACCTCTGGCGCGCTAACCGTGCGTCTCGTACCGATAGTAAAAATCAAATTAACGTATTGCCTCCGTCAAGTACAATGAAGGTTCTTTCAATTTCTATTTACCTGTCCTGGTGAAACTGGAAAGGTCTCCGGGCCAAAAGTAATCCTTGAATCATAAAAAAAAATCTATTTACATGTTTCAGGGAGATATTTGTTCGCTAGAGCTGACGTTCTCCGTGGACGAGGAGCGTCTGGGAGAAATAGTGACGCACGAGCTGGTTCCGGGTGGTAAAGGCATCCCCGTCACCAACGAGAACAAGTAAGGGGCTCTATAAACTTGCAGCTATGTGCTTGGTTGGTTGGTAGGTCGAGCTTGAAAAATTGCAAAATTAGGTATGAAATACTGTACTGTTGTACAGGTGGTAGGACCCCTTGTGAGTCCGCACGGATAGTCCACTCTGCTTATTTCTGCCGTGATGTAGTAATGCATTTCGGTTTGAAGGGTGGGGCAGCCGTTTTAAATAACTATACTGAGACCTTAGAACTTATATCTCAAGGTGGCGGCATTTACGTTGTAGATGTCTATGGGCTCTGATAACCGCTTAAAACCAGGTGGACCGTGAGCTGATCCACCGAACTATGCATTTTTTTTTTTTTGTGTAAGTGACGCGTTTTTGACTTGCTTTCATTACCTTCACTTATAGCCATCTAAGTAACGGAATCTTTTAATGGAATTGAACCGATTAAGTAAAATTTTCGCACACTTATCAATAAAAAAATATGTTTTAATTGTTTCTATAACTCGCGGTAACCGATCACAACAATCAGTATAACCTCATCATCCAGATTGGCAGTCCAAATTTATTTTTATTTTTAATCGACTCTTATCATTTTTGTTTCAGAATAAACTACATTCACCTGATGGCTCATTTCCGGATGCACATGCAAATCAAAGACCAGACGAACGCTTTCATCAAAGGGTTCAGAACCATTATCAACCCCGAGTGGCTCTCATTGTTCTCCACCCCAGAGGTGTGTATAACAATTCCTAGATTACGCAAGTACTTCATAGCCCATGTTCCTGTCTACAAGCGAACTAAAGATACCAAAAGATGTACCTGTGATTCGAATGTAAAGTCGAAAGCTATCTAATTGCAAGGACACAAAGTTAAATTTAGGATGCTAGGTATTATTATTATGTCTTAATCAAGAGGTTTCCGCGTAAAAGGTGCTTGTTTTAGTAAGTTAATTAGTTGTGAATTCGTAGTCTAAGCGAGGAAGGTTGACGTCGATAGAACATTGTCTAGTTCATCCGGGAATTGGTAACATGGAAATACAATCATTCTTTGTTAAAAATAATTATAATTAACCATCAACAAAGGTACCTTAGGGTACGGTACTTTTGTTGTGTAAGCTCAGGGCTGCCGTCGAACAGTTGAAACAATTAATGAATTAATTTCTGTATGAAAATATTAAGAATTTATGTAATACTACCCGGCACACAGCCCACTGAGTTTCTCGCCGGATCTTCTCAGTGGGTCGCGTTTCCGATCCGGTGGTAGATTCTGCGAAACACGGCTTTTGCTAGTGTTTGTGTTAGCAACGTAACGTCATCAGGTTTGAGTCCTGTGAGCTCACTTACTAATTCGGCGATTCTACAATAACCCCTCGAGGCTACTAGAATAGATAGGAAAAAAAAAAGAAGTGAAAAATGACGTTCAGACTGAACAGAAAATGGTTTTGAGCTCTCACATAGCTAACTATGTCCGCAAGATGTTTATTTATTTAGACACACCAACAGCATTACACACAAAACAGTCAAGCTTAAAAATAACAAGTATAAAATTAAGTACTGGTAGGTACAGGCATGTAAAGCAATCTCTTATGACACACTATGACATTTTACAGCAATTTTACAAACAGCGGAAAAATAAACAAAAGAACTTGGATACTAGTTTGTTCTTGAGATCAGGAAAACGTGTCTTTAAAAATGTCGACGCCGTCAATTAATGCACACGTTTGGTTATATTCACTACAAATCTTTGATAAAAGGGAATATTTAAGGAGGTCTGTTCTACTTGCGGGAATATGGAAAATTTTAGTGATAGGATGCCGTGGGCGGCTGTATGTTCTGAAAGTGTTGTAAGCGCGGAGTGGTGTGGACAGCTGCAGCGGCTGATCAGCGGCGACAACGTGCCCCTGGACCTGCGCGACCTGCGCCGCCACACGCAGTACTACGGCGGCTTCCACGACTCGCACCGCGTCGTCTGCTGGCTGTGGGACGTGCTGCAGCGCGACTTCACCGAGCACGAGCGCGCCATGTTCCTCAAGGTACCAACTCTTGGACTTTTTGTGGACTTTTTGGCGGGAACGCGAGGAACGAATCTGTGTGAATTGTTTTACTTTGTCTATTTAGAGTCGGTGGCTTATTAGCTGTTTAGTTTCTGTGAAAATTGTGGAAAAACGAAAAAAAAAAGCCTCTGGACGTAGCTTCTCGGGTTCTTCCAAAAAGTCCAATGAAAAAGTTTCAGTAAATAACCACCATTTCACTGCGATTATATTTCATCCCATATCATCTCATTTAATTGTATGTCAATTGATTAATCTTTCAGATTAATCAACTTCATTTCATTTCACTTTATAATATTATTTTTCATAAAAAAAAGATTAGGCTGTATGGATATACCTTTGCCTTTCCATTTGGAAAAATAGAATCACTACTACTGATCTGTATGAAAAGCTATCGAATTCGTAATGTAAATGTATAGAGTTCTCGATACGAAACGGATCCTTACATTAGATAGTACTCAATAGGCCAGCCAGCCTTCGAGATTTACGTTACCGTATGCTCCGATTCTGAGTATAAGTTTCGAGTTTCAAGAACGTAACGATTCGATTGCGAAACGAAACTAAGTGAATTCATTCGTGCTGCTGAATTTAATTTCTTTTACGGACGGTAGGGGCGCTGTTTAAATCCTATATATTTTTTCTCGATAGCAATACGAATACTTTTTCGATAGTCATTCGCGCTGCCCCTTTGAACTAATTCCTTTTATGAAAGTACTTTCTAAAAGTACTATACTCCTTTTAAACGTGTTCAAATGATATGAAATTGTTTTCACACGTGCGAACGGGTATTCCGACCAGTAGACACCATGATAAAAAAATAATAATAATAATGTGTTGTATTTAGTAGGTACGCGTAATGCTATTAAAGTGTTTATATTTGATTACAGTTTGTGACGTCATGCTCGAAGCCGCCTGTACTTGGATTCGCCCATCTAAAGCCCCCGTTCTCGATACGGTGCGTTGAAGTTGGCGACGATGAAGACACCGGAGACACCATAGGTAATGTTCGATCAATTCTTTTGTATAAAGCTTTATGTACAGGGTCTGAGTAGTTCGAATACCTGTAATATACTGGAAATTGATGTTAATCATATTAATAGGTAACATTGATCGCTCAATGGTCGACCATAAATACGGACAGCTTAAGATTTAGTTGAACAAATTTGTAATTTTAAAGTTCTTCAATATTATAAAAAATCTGATGACAAACAGATGAAAAAACATTACTAAATTTAATTGTTTTTGCTTATTTATAGATTTTTATTACGTAATTTTCTCTAATAGAGGTCTAAAGGATGAGACGCCCGATGTACCTACCTACCCGTATGGAGCGACGCCACTATGCTGGTGTTCAAATCTCATACTCATAACTATATTTCTGTAAAAATACGTATTTAATACATTCTCACGAACAACATTCGCGATATTAACCCACAGACACAGCCCACTAAGTTTCTCGCCGGCTCTTCTCAGTGGGTCGCGTTTCCGATCCGGTGGTAGATTCTGCGAAGCACTACTCTTGCTAAAGCTAGTGTTAGCAACACTCCGGTTTGAGCCCGTGAGCTCACTTATACGCTAAGGTAACACAACTCCAAGGATGCTGATTCCAAGGATATCAGCATAGGCAGAAAAAAAAGTTCGCGATAAAAGGAATACATTTTAATTAGAAAAATTCAACATATCACATATAGGAATAAATGCGAGAACTGGTATGATAAAGAAGCTCGGAATGAACGCGGGACGTAGCTTTTAAGCCACTTATGGGCAGGAAATTAAAATTAAAACAAAAAATGTAAATAACAACCTCTGGTTTTGTTGTTTGCCATTGAGGTACACAGTTCTAATACGATTAAAAAAAAATACATTTACATACAACATAGTACACAGGTACCTCTGCATGGTGTTGCCGCCGTGCAGTAATGCGTACCAGTTTGAGGGCTAGGGCGGGACCCACCTAATGTCCACGTGGGCCCACGAGTCCTTCCGTTCATAATAATAAAATAACTTGTGGAACAGGCAGCGTGATACGCGGCTTCTTCACCATAAGGAAGAAGGACCCTTTGAACCGGCTGCCGACCTCGTCGACCTGCTTCAACCTGCTCAAGCTGCCCAACTACCAGAAGCGGAGCACGCTGCGCGACAAGCTGCGGTACGCGGTCAACAGCAACACCGGCTTCGAGCTGTCTTAGGGCGCGCTCGCGATACAAACTGCAACACACTAGCGACCCGCCCTCGCCTCGCTTCGGAAACTGTAATTTATTATTGATTTCTCCACTATTTAATGGATGCTATTATACATATAAACCTTCCTCTTCAATCACTCTATCTATTAAAAAAAACCGCATCAAAATCCGTTGCGTAGTTTTAAAGATTTTAGCATACATAGGGACAGACAGATATAGGGACAGAGAAAGCGACTTTGTTTTATACTATGTAGTAATTCACGTTTAGTCTCGTCGTGTCTTACGATGTTTTCATAAAGTCGTACCAAAAAAAGGTTTTTTTTTATTGTTTTTTGATGGGTGCTCGAGCTCACAGCCCACCTGGTGTTAAATGCCGTCACCCATCTTGAGATTAAAGTTCTAAGGTCTCAGTATAGTTATAACAGCTACCCCATCCTTCATGCCGAAACACATTACTACTTCACTCACGGCAGAGATAGGTGGAGTGTTGATACCTACCCGCGCGGACTCACAAGAGGTACTACCACCAGTAACTACGCAAAGCTTTGATTTTTATTACACGATGTTATTCTTTCACCGTGGAAGTCAATCGTGAAAATTTCTTAGTACGTATTTTATTAAACATTCAGCTCAATAGGTCTCTTTTAGATTAGAATAAGCGTTTGGCGGACGCGCGGCATTTTTTTTTCAGTAATGAAACTTCATTCACTAAACCGATTCGTATCTCAATATCGAGGGGTGAAAGGCCATTTGGTTTAAACAACATTTTTGCAACATTACAGGGGAGCCATTTAGAAGTTTAAAAATTGGAAAAACAATGCCAAAAAAAAAAACTTTTTCACTTATTTAAATGAGATAAACACAATTGAAGTTCATTTAAAAACATCGAACTGCTTATGCTAATACCAAATAAAACGGCCAAACCAAATAGCCTTTCATCCTTCGATTTATTTTTTCTAAACAAAGTTTTTTTTTATTGCTTAGATGGGCGGACGAGCTCTCAGCCCACCTGGTGTTAAGTGGTTACTGGAGCCGATAGACATCTACAACATAAATGCGCCACCCACCTTGAGATATAAGTTCTAAGGTCTCAGTATACCTAGTTACAACGACCGCCCCACCCTTCAAACTGAAACGCATTGCTGCTTCACGGCAAAAATAGGCGGGGCGGTGGTACCTACCCGTGCGGACTCACCAGAGGTCCTACCACCAGTAATTACGCAAATTATAATTTTTGCGGGTTTTCACTTTTATTACACGATGTTATTCCTTCACCGTGGAAGTCAATCGTGAACATTTGTTGAGTACGTATTTCATTAGAAAAATTGGTACCCGCCTGCGGGATTCGAACACCGGTGCATCGCTTCAACACGAATGCACCGGACGTCTTATCTTTTAGGCCACGACGACTTCAAACTTTAATTCGTTTTAGCATTTGAAACGGAAATAATATAATAAAATAGTACATATTTATAACTTATGTATGTAATTTGTATAATCTCGATATTATTGCTAAAAAGTTGATTGTTCACTTTTAATATTGTTTTTAATATTATGTCGAGAAGAAGTAGACGGTAATTGAAAGCAAAAAAAGTGATATCCGACCTTTTGGATTTAATATCGCGAATAATTGATGTGAATTTATTGGAATACCACCTCTTTGTTCAGTGTGTCCATTTTAAGTGTTTTAAATAACTAGTTGTTACATAAAAATAACTTAAGACTTGTTTATACTCAATTGAAATTTGTGTGTTCGGTTTGAAACGATAATACACTAACTTATTGCGTTCGAATAATTTTAATTACAACTAAACACAGTTTCATGATAAAAAAAAATTAATAAAGAAAATTGGCCAAAATATTGTAAACAAAGATCTCAGAAAAAAGTTTGGTTTTCTTCTATATTGATATGAAGATTAATCTATCGTTTGGTTTGAATAGTTTTCAAGAGTATCTACACGTGGCTAAAACTGTTGTTCCAGTACCCAAACCGCTATGACCACAAAAATTGAAATAATCGAAAGATTGACTCGTGGTTATCTTTCTGGTAAAACCCTTGGACTCTCCTGTACCCCCGGCTGTGTTGCCTCGTGTAAAAACAGTGTCACATCTAGAATCTATATGTCCGTAATTATTTTAAATCTGCTTGCGGGGTAATTGGCAAAGAACTAACGCGACCAACTTACTAACCAAGGAATATGTCCAAAAAGTACTACTCATTTTTACGACTTAATTCTTAATTGCGTTCACAAAAATGTCTCTTTTATGGTAACTTATTTGCTCGCCTCTTTGGTCGCGTAGTATCGTATCTAAATATCAAAGATTTTAATTGTACTTTTGCTTGTCTCGAATGTATTTCTGGTTCCCAAAACTTCGAGTAGGTTTTGTTTTTTAAACATGCACGATTGAAAACAGGGAAAGTTTATATTGTGAAAGTACTTTGTAATAATTGTAGTTTACCTTAACGCCGCCTATGTATCACAAGCCCTGCGTAGGTGTAAACCAATAAATGAGAACTTTGTTCTCAGCACGAGTGCTAGAATGATGCTTATTTTCAAATGTATTATATTCACCGATACAGGGTGATGGTAATTTGAATCAAGTAATTCATTTGTAGCTTGGTTATTTTGCAATAACCGATTATAATCACATAATTAGTGATGTGATTAGCGACATCTACTTTAATGCGGGATCCAGGATTCTCCATCAGAGACATTGTCCTTGTTAAAGATGTTTCGTACTCGAGGTCTGAGTGGAGTTGTCGTATGTGTGTGTTTGTGCGTTACACATAAATCCCGCCGCCTTCGACTGTTTGATGTGGAACATTTACGTGAAGTTCCAATACGTACAATGTCCAAATGCGCGGTAAGATTGGTTCCCTTTCCTTTCTAATCTATTGACCTCAAAGGTTTTTTTGCCGAAATGGACGCACCGTGATTTGAAGGGAATAGCCAATGTTCTAATAAAATGGACAGTTGAGTTCCTATAAAAAAGGAGTTTGGAGGCCTACCGGTAACTGAATCGGACGGTACAAATAATATTGCTACTGGCTGATGATCTTTCTCGAAAACGAAAATATCATCAAATTTATTGACAGTCCAGAAGACAAATTTTCCCATCATAACGTAATGACTAAAATATCTTGCTATTTCATAACAAATTACGTACACCCTGTATAAATAATAATATGGATGTAGTCACATTTGACGCGCGAATTAAACTCACACAAATATATCGGTTGTAATAATTAGTGTGTGGCATACTCATTTTGTAAACGTGATCTCAGATGAATAAAATTTATTTCCATGAACTTAAAAGGCGATTTTTCGTTTTCATTTCAAAATGCAAACACGAAGAATTGTAGGAATACCAAAAAATATTTACGTTTTTACGGACTTAACCTCTTTATATATTAAAATGTTAGTAATTAGTCTGTAGTACTCCTTAATACGGTAGTTGACGAATTGTATTTACTAAGAATCCTGTCCAATAATAATAAAATATGTATATAGACAATAATGTTTTAAATAATGTATAATTGTAGTATATTTTTGTTTACTCATTTACATAATTCTTAAGACACTAGAGTTCACGCCAATTTGTACATACGACGACGTACATATTTTTATTATAGAATACAATTTTTAAATGAATTCAGCTCATTTTAAATCAAACACAAAATTCACGGGATTTTCATTCTCAATATAATAATAACACATGTCACTTTATTGTATACAGTAAGGGTTAATTGTAATGTATGTGTTTAATTGTATAAGTAATGCGTGTGCACTTTATTGTTGAACCAAACCCTAAATATTTATGTTACATAATAATTATAGTAATTAGCACCATATTATATTTTTAAATTGTGTGTCAAATGTATAGCCATTGATAAAGTATGTATGTTGTATTTCATCAATGTTTTTTTTTGTTCGAATAAATACTTTATTTCGTTATTTGTACGTTTATATTTTATATGAATAGTTTTACGATTTTGTGCAATTTATCGATGCCATTTTAAATCTAATAGAATCGTTCAGTAACGTTTTTAATTTGTTTAGTTTCCGTTTCGTTTGGCGGTGAAATATGCTTACAATCCTGATTAGGTATCCGATTAACATGTATTGCGACCAGTGAATATTCTAAAGTCATAATTTTACCGCCATACTACAGCGCGAATAAATGTAATAAAATATTTGTACTATCCACGTTATATATGTCGTATAACACAATGTGATTCTCTGTGATAATAAAATTGATATTTATTAGAACTGGATTTTATTTTATCGTATAATTTTTAGGTTAATGAAATATTTGAAAGGTAAGGTAATGTTTGAAAAAAAAACTTTTAAATCGATTCTGCACAAACCTCCTTATTGAATCTGGAGGAAATCGTCGGTTCCTCCGACTTGTACTGATGCGGAGTATTATTATTATTGCATACTTGTATTATTACTATTATTATAGCATATAGTATTGGAACCCTCGCGGTCAGTTTATCATCGTGTTCGACCTTCGTGATAGAAATCCGGATGAGGTAACATCAGGTAACTCGATTTTATCTCTACAATCTCATCATAACTCGCGAGACAACGGACGTGGGGAATAGTAAATATTTTAGTGTAGTTGTGTTGAAGTCTGACACGGATCTAAATCGCGATGGTCGTCCGCACACATGAACAGAAAACGTGCCGCTGCCAGTACTTGCATACATGAGGACGACATCTCCATTGTATTAAAAAAACTAGTGCTCCACATAATAAAACCGTAATCGTGGTAACTATTACTTCTTAACACCAAAGGAATCGTACAAAAAAATCCTCAACGACTGTTCAACGGCATCAATCATTACGAAATACCAATATTTTTAGGCTAGATCTAGGTATCTTGGAATTCCTTCGTCGGTGAAGTCGTTTCTGAACACGAGCTGAAATGCTTATTTAGAAAAGCCTGTAGGTAGGTCCCTAGCATTTGCACCAGATTGTAATCGTAACACACGGCACGAGCAAGTATAAGAAACTGGCTTCTTGCCTATTAGGTGTTCAGAGGATACTTCCCGTTGGGCCTAGGTGATATTAACCTAGGTGATGTAACCTATAGGCTCTCCGGCAACAAGGTTCATATTGTAATGGTTTTTCAATAGGATTTTCGGCTCACTTATAGCAGACGACCTTACATTCTACCAGAAGTGAAACAGTTACGAGTAATATTAACACCTTAACATCGATTACCTTGGTGTTTTAATAACGGTTATTCTATTCTTCAAAACCGCAACGCATGGTTGTTTCGTAACAGGTACGAAAGTAATAATGCGTGTTCCCAAAACGCCATACCAGCGTTGCAGTTAGGAATTAAGGGAGAACTTATTAAGGATTATTTCCATAGACGAAGTCTTAGATAAAAAAAAGGTTAATGCTACAAACCGATGATGAGAAAGACAAAAGTTTTTTTAAACGCCCTTGTAGGCAGACGAGCATACCACGACGACCCACCTGATGGTGAGTGATTATCGTCAATCATNGCGTGTTCCCAAAACGCCATACCAGCGTTGCAGTTAGGAATTAAGGGAGAACTTATTAAGGATTATTTCCATAGACGAAGTCTTAGATAAAAAAAAGGTTAATGCTACAAACCGATGATGAGAAAGACAAAAGTTTTTTTAAACGCCCTTGTAGGCAGACGAGCATACCACGACGACCCACCTGATGGTGAGTGATTATCGTCAATCATGAACGTCAGAATGCCAGGGACACAGCTAAGGCACTGCTCACCATGTAAGCTGCTGCCTATTAAGCAGTTCTCTGAGTAGTCCGGAGTCGTAATTATAGATAAAATAAAGCCACGTAATTACATATAGTATAAAATACTATACAATCGCATAGATAATAAATAGAAAGTTAGCATTTACTCAATATCTATTTAAGACTAGCTGACCCGGCAAAATTCGTAGTGCCTCAACCGATAAATAAAAGGCCTAAGCTTTTGTATAAAATAAACTTAAAACAAACAAAAGGAATTCGTCCGACGGGGGACACATCGAAGGGAAATTGTTATTTTTATTTAATTCCGAGCATTTTAAACCTTCCCTGGACTTCCACAAATAATTCAACACCAAAATTAGCTAAATCGGTCCAGCCGTTCTCGAGTTTTAGCGAGACAACGAACAGCAATTCATTTTTATATATAGAGATAGAAGATAGATAATAGATATAGATTTTAATTAAATTTAAATATTATGAATTTAAAGTCCATTTTTGACTTTATTTACGAATACTAGTAGAGCCTACTTGTTGAAATTCTGATACACTGATAGATCGTAATAAATTACATAAAAAGATCTAAATCATAGGCATAATAAAGTCGGAAATCCGTCATCGGAATCTTACAAATTGTATTTCAATTTTTTGTTATGGATGCCTACATTTATTAGATAAGATTCGATAATTTGATCTAAAAATTATAGACAACAAAAAAAACACGCAGGTCCTTGTAAAATAATTTTTTTGCTTAACTAATTTAAGAAAATAAATCTGAGTAGAGTCGAACAACAATAAAGTGCACATAATTTTAAGATCACGAAATGTAATCATATTTTCCTCAGTAGTGAAAAAATGGTACCACTTTTTAAGTGATCGTTACTACAATGCTCTCATAAATAGTCTAGTAGTGATTTAACAATATATAACTTTACATCTAATTATGGTCATTCAAGCCCAGCTGTTCTTGACATCGGCGCCATGTTCTTTTGCTGTCTCGCTCACGCATCATTACTGCCGGTCTTTCCGCCCCCCACCTCATTTTCAGTTTCGCTCAATCGGCGTGGCGTGTAGACGTTGGTTAGGTTAACTGTAATCCGTAATTTACGGTATCTTTCTTTGTCCAGAAAGAAGTAAGAGCCAGACTCATCAGTTAATCTTTATCAAATTCAAACGAACACGTAAAAGTAACTGGTGAATTAAAAAAGTGTTTCTGAATTCCACGAGTGTTGTTTAGTGATCCCTGCAGAGTCGTTCGAGCATGAATAATAAAAAAGTAAGCAGTGATATTTCCGCGTTTCCCTCGGGAGTCAAGTTCTGGTGATAGAGTTAAAGTCGAGGCAGTGGTTCGCCTGATGAGTCTGCGGTGACACCTCGCCGCTGAGCGGTTGGATGGCGGCAGTTAGCGGTCCCGCGCGGCACTCTCGCGTTTCCATGAGTGTGTCGATGTCCCTGATGCAGGGCAGTACGCAGAGTGCGCCCCAGGGCGCCATCCTGGCGGCAGCGGCGCCCTACTATCAATCGCCGGCTATCCCGACTGATGTTCAGCCTGACCGGCCCATCGGCTATGGTGCCTTCGGCGTTGTATGGTTAGTACTAGTTTGTTTATAAATTTACTTTCAGTTGACATATCACGAGAATACAAATAATACTTACTATAATAAACATCGTTAATTTATCAAGAAAATTCTCTATTAATTTCAAGTTTTTATCTTCAAAAAAGTTTGGTCGCATATTCTGCTGATAGGTAGGTACATACAACATAAACATTTCCTGTGCTTATATAATATTGAGATTTTTCAATATTTATTCTCGAAACTAAATTAATTCTCAGGCTAAATTTAATTTGGAAACTTTAANACTTACTATAATAAACATCGTTAATTTATCAAGAAAATTCTCTATTAATTTCAAGTTTTTATCTTCAAAAAAGTTTGGTCGCATATTCTGCTGATAGGTAGGTACATACAACATAAACATTTCCTGTGCTTATATAATATTGAGATTTTTCAATATTTATTCTCGAAACTAAATTAATTCTCAGGCTAAATTTAATTTGGAAACTTTAAAAAAAATCCTGTATGAGTTAAGCCCATTTTTAGTAAATAAAAACGGAAACAAAAAAGCAGCTTCGGCTTCATTTATAGCTTAATAAACATTATTGTTTGATAATAAACAACTTTAAAATAGCATAACGTATAGCTAGCTATCCAGTATATTATGCGTAAACGAATCTCTTTCCAAAATGTTGACTTTTCCTATCAATAGTCATGGTTTTTTATTATAATAAACTATTTTTGATTGAAGATAAAATTAAACTTATATGATTCAAAAGTATTCTCTTCATATCGCTACTTATTTATAAAGCAATCGTGTTATAGATGAACAAAACAGTTAGAACAGAGCCTAATAATATTGTATATTTACAATTATTAAGTATTAAGTTATTTACACAAAACACAACAAACCTTACATATTGAAGTAGTTAGTCACAAATAAGTAAAATATATTTTTTACATTTCTGTAAAATTTATAGATCAACAATTAAGACCAATTCTTACATACTAATTACACAAAAAAAAATTATATACCATTTGCTTTTCCAATTTGTGATTTATTAAAAATACACGAAGCAAAAAAGTTAAGTTCCTTTGTTTAATAACTCAGAGAATTTTTAGAAAAAAAATTATCGTGTAAGGTCATATTCAAGATGTAAAAAGTAAATGTTCTCTAAGCATTTATTACCGGTCGCCCCACAGCGTCATCCGAGCACCCGCTTTTACAGCCTCGGAACACGAACTGCTCGTTAATACCAGAGAAAGCTCCGATTCCATTTTACCATCTCTTTTATGGTAGTATTCCAACATTTCTAACAATGGATATCGTTTTTATAGTAAAAGCTTTTGCACTTACGATAAAGTGCAGAAACTAAGTCAAGAGATAATATTATTTCGGAAAAGTTTTTAAAGTTAGCATCCCAGTCTAGTAAGTATGCGTCGGTCGACTTTTGTAAACACGTGGTGTTAAGTTCTTCAAAACAAACTGAATTCAATTTAGACTAATGGCAATAAGAACTATTTTCAATATTCACAATCGCGGTCCTCGTCGATGCACATCGCGTTCGCAGGTTTTTCTTTCGTTACAGTTAATATTGCACTTTATTGCTGTGGAGTTACGATATTTTTCAGTTAAATATAACTGTTAACGGATGCGGTGAATCGTGCTATGCAGCTGCGTACGAAAGTGCTTCTTAATGGTATGAGAATAGAGATGAAAATGTTATCTGTAGGGTTGGTTCATGGTCTTCAAACGTACAATAGGGGCTAGGTACGGACGGGCGTTTTATGTCGACTTGCGTTGCGTAGGTAGGGTCCTGATGGCGCTTGCCTCGTCGATTGTGTGTGAACGACCGCGATGAGGGGAAGCGCGCCTGATTATTTCGAGACCACGTCGATCGCTGACTGCGAACCCTAAAACACTGTCTGCCCCGTTCTAGCACTCCATTCCCGTCCGTTGAATACAAATGAGGATTTCTTTAATCTCAACTGAAGTTACCCGGATCTCGAGAGACGACTTTTGAAATTTTGTTTCCAACCGAAACTATTTTTTTCTCCTTGGATATTATAATGATGATGACATTTAAATTTACATTATATTTGTATGAGTAAAATTGAGGTTTCTTCAATGTGTTTCAACTCTCCCTTGTTTGTAATCGCATAGCGTGAAATGAGTTAAGTAATCAGTAACGTAGCGAAACGTCCATTGTTATTAGTGATATTGCAAAAGTGTTTTTCAGATATATGTGACGAGCTATTTATAAACTGACTAATTTCACGATCCATATACAAATAAATATAGCACGTCAGCCCCTGAAAAATTCCTCAAAAATTAAATTTTAAGTCCTGTTATACAGTATTAAGTGCACGTCTCAGGTGCACTAACTGTAAATATATCCTGAAACGGTTAGTAGGTGCAATAAATTTCACATCACTTCAGGCTTATTATATGCCGGTTATGTTTTCTTTGTACTCCTTATTTAATACCCTACAAAATCACAGTAGAACAAATATTTTGTACGATCCAAATACCGTCATAACTCTATAGTTTTTCATTTTTCGTTTGATATAAGAAAGAATTTTCTGAAACAACGAAAATACCCAGATCCAGATCCCAGATCAAGTAGGCAGCGGTCTGGCTCTGCCCCTAGCATTGCTGAAGTCCATGGGCGACAGTATGCTCGTCTGCCTACAAGGCCAATAAAAATAAAATAAAAAAATCCTTGCTCTTAGTTATTCAGGAAATTTTATGTGTAAACAATAACGTATCAGCATTTAGTATCCAACCTCTTTACTGGTACTTCAGTCTATAAAACTTCTTAACACAGTAAAGGCTAATAAAGGACGAGCGCTTGGAACAAAAATAAACGTACAAAGCGAAAACGATTCATTTCTATAACAAGGAGGTTCGCAATCCGTTTGTCTTATTTTACAAAGCAGATTATATTTATGGAACATTTTACTGGTCGAGTACGGTGACTTCCTTTCTTGACATACTGCGGTTTAGTCAAATAACTCGTACTAGAGGTCCCGCAGTAGTCGCAATTCGACTATAATTAATTGGAATTGTAAGTTTGTGCACTATTATGATTGTATTTTATACTTCTATAATCACAAATTTCGCTAAGGGTACACTATAAAAAAATATTAATAAAGACAAACAGTATTTAATCTATTCTCAAATTGACCACAGACGTCAAGAACAAAAGTTTGACAATAAATAGTATGCTATTAGTAGTAATAGTATACATGGTATGTAGTGTGTGTAATGTTTTCTTTATTTACTTAATGTATCTGTTGTGCATTATTTAAAAAAAAAATTAGCATTGTGCAGTTTTTCTCTATATTCTCTGTAAGTGTTGAAAATTTCATACTCCTCCGTCCGCGCAATTTTCTTAAAAAGGGGTACAAAGTTTTTGCTTCACGTATTAATAACTCGTAAAAATTAGTTAGTGTTGGGTGCGGGCTGATTGATCGGACTGCGCGACCAGGGACCGCGCCCCGGGTCGCGCCTTTTCTCCACCCAACGCTTCGTGCCTAATAATTGTACTGTACACAGATAGGCTTAAAACTTGAGTCATCCATCCGACTTTATAACGTAGTCCTTTATCTGTAACGAACAAAGGTTTGTTGCGAATTTAAAACAAATTCGAACTGTCGTTAGCAAGAATGCTTAAGGTGGTATCTCTGAAATGTTCGTGTTACCTGAATTTTGTTTTAATCTCAGTAACATTCCAAGATTTGACGAATTTGGGCTTGGGATTTTTACCTGCCCCCGTGATTCCAATATGTCCGCGTTATACCCGCTAGTTTGGCATTTAGCCTGTGAACGTTCGTTTCATCCATTCTTTGTCCCTCAATGTATTTCAGTTTTTTTTTTGTTATTTTATACTACAATGGGAAAATACGTATCGTTTGACAATAGTAAAGCGCTATGACATGTACTTCCCCAAAGGAGGCTTGCGTACTCAATGGTCGGTAGTGACTTGAGGACTTGGCTGTGCCCCTGGCATTGCTGACGTCCAATAGTGACGGTAACCACTTACCATCAGGTGGGTCGTATGCTCGTCTTCCTAGAAATGCAGTACTTTTTTTAAATAAAAACCACGATTAAATCTCGTGTTCAAAACACCGGCTTACTTTTTTTGGAACACAACTTGAATGCTAAAAATATGATCTACCAGTAAATTAAACGTGCCTCCTGTGTGCTTAGTGCGAGTTTTTTAACGTTCTCGATAGCGTAAAAGTAAATCCAACTTTGTATGCACATGGAGCAGCGCCCCTAGCGGCAAACGCAGGCAAACGTTCCCATTCCACACAAATATAACTTTTACGCTATCGAAAACGTTAAAAAACTCGCACTAAGCACACAGATCGCATTTTTACGATCCTGAATGGTAACCGACCGATCCATTTGTAATCTTGCTTCGCGTAGGTAAGTACACATGTGGCCAGTGATCGAGAACTGCAGATGTTTCGAGCAGTGAAGATAACGGCGGCGGTTCACTGTCGGTTGCCGGTGGCGACAGAGCGCGGCCCGGCAACCGTTAACCGGGTCACGGAAACGTATCGCCCGGCCCGCAGACTGCTTACCGTGCGTTCTTATAATGCGACGTGACATAATTTAATTAACCAATTTCGAATCGTAATGAAGCGTGAACATGTGCCTTATGATCGGAATCAATATTCTTTAAGGTTGACCGACTTTATTAATTTTTACTAAGTTACTAAAAGAAAACAATTACTAAATATTTAGATGTTAACATTTTAAAAATGTTTCTGAATGAGAAGTGTTTACCTACAAATTAGCTATTTTCGACTTAGTCATCGCAAAATACTTAATAAAATAATAGTTTCTACCAACACAGCACTAGCAGACGAGTTCTCGACCTCTATAATGCTAAATGCCTTCGGATACCATAGCGTCAATGCTGCTGCCCATCAGACTTAATATTGAAGTTTCCATTGATATCTTATCATCATCGTCTTATCTCTATAGATACATAAACTGTCATTGAAATGGGCCAGGGTTC